CGAATTTTTTTTTAAAAGCCAAAAAAGCCACCCAATATTGTGGTTGGAAGTGGAAAGCGCTACTTGTGAGTCTATTTCCTTTTCTTTTCTTCTGCTAGATATTTATGTCTAAGAAAAATTAATGTGTCCAATGCGTTTTACAATAATACAAAGAAGACGTGAACACGTGAATCGTACGAGTCCAGTCCTTTTGCGATCCACTCTCTCTCTCTCTCTCTCTCTCTCTCTCTCTCTCTCTCTCTCTCTCTCTCTCTCTCTCTCTCTCCCTCTCTTTCTCTGTATATATATATATATATATATATATATATATATTATATATATATGTATTTATATATATATATATATATATATATATATATATAAATATATATATATATGTATATATATTTTTATGTGTATATCAATATATATTATATCAATATATCTCTCTCCAGTATGTCTATCTAGCTTTATTGATACACTAGATACTCGTTATTACGTGGGTGTACAAAATGTACTTCTCTTCACTATAAATAAACAAACAAAACCCAATGTAGTTCAGTTCGAGGGCGGTTGAACAGTTGGCCCACTGAAAGACACGCAAGCTTGGAGCAAATTAGAGAGGATTTGAAAAACTATTCGGAACCCGTTCGGATTGGGGTCTCAAACTTCTGTTTAGAAGGTCAAGTCCATAACTGTGGCGTCCGTAGTCTAATCGTGAGATTACAGGTACAGGAGTTCGAGCCTCCATTCGGTCTTTCGTCGTGTCCTGGGGAAAGGCACTTTTCACGAATGTTCGCCCCCATCTGTATTTAGCTCCGTCCTATCGGAAATAGACGTTAAATTCGAAGGCGCCGCCTCCTAATCAACCTTCCAATACAACAGGGATGCAAGGGGAGTTAAACCTATTTAAGTCCAGAATTCAGTATGCCACGACGGTTAGTGGCTTGTTGTTTCTGTCTGTCTTCCTTTTATCCCAACACTAAACGACCGTATTGAATAAATATTCTTCTATTTACTCAATTAAATACAGTAGTCAGCTCGTTCTAATGACGTTGCTAGTTGATGAACTGTTGATAGCTCAAGTTTCCAGATGTTCTTTTCTTTAATCTTTGAACATCTTTCTTTCAGCCGCGGGGGTATTGGGTACCCTCAATGCAGTCCGTTCATTTTGCTCTTTTTTTCAGTACTTGTGTAGTTGTTGTACTGTTAGCCCCGTCTGTTCCTGGCGAAATCCAGAAGTTTCCCTAAGCAGTGTGCGGTACTAATTTTGTTCGCAATTACTTTCATGTACTTGTATTATTTCTAGTAAAGCTTCATACTTTTTGGCGTCCAGTGTCCAGTTGTAAAATCTGATTTTGAAAGAAACGAGTGAGGTAAATGGGGAACCATAAGAAAATCCCAAGATAACCCAATTTATTTGAGAATGCCCCGAGCACGGATCAGTCTAGGGTCGTTTTCGTCACCTTTCTGTTTAGTACAACAGAGCAAGCATGGCTCAAATTACGACGAAAATCGGTTTAAAAAAAAAAACAATTCCTAGCCAGTCTAATCGCGTCTGTTAGCCTGGGTTTTTCCCCAAAGGATTCGATTAGCGCATGACGTCAATGGAGTTTTCAGCTGGGTTTTTTCTTTTTTTCTTTTAAAAGGGGCCGGCGACAGTGCCTACCACCAGAATAATGTTCAACTGAAACCTTTATAAGTAAAACATTGACCCTTTTAAAGTTGTAATTAAGTCAGCAGTGGAAGCTGGAGCTGGGTTGTCGACCATACTCGAAGGTGTAAAGGTGCAAATTTGTTAACTGCTCTCTCCACCCCACCCCCGCTCTCTCCACACACGCACGCACACACACACACACACACATTATCTCTCTCTCTCTCTCTCTCTCTCTCTCTCTCTCTCTCTCTCTCTCTCTATCTCTCTCTCTCTCTCACCCCTCCCCTTCCCTCTCTCTCGCTCTCTCTCGTGCACATCCACGCGCCCCCCCCCCCTCTCCACACACGCGCACTCACTCTTTAGTTTAGTTTTAGTAGAGGTTTTACGGCGCTCGCCACTGCATAAGGTCATATGAGCGCCAGAAGATTAGAGGTGTTACTAGAGAGTAACAGACATAAAAAAGAAGGGGAGATAAGGACGATAGATGTTTGATAAGAAAGACGGTGCAAACCACACAAGAGCACCCGCCAACCACCCACTCCCACTCTTTAATTTTTGGGCACCCGGACTTTTTTCTCTTCTTCTTGTCCCTTACAACAGGCTACCCTGGTTTATCAAAGGAGTCCGAAATTTTTGTTACAAGCTTTTCCCATTGTCTGTGCCTACACCACAACATAGCGGGTACCGAGCTGCCGATCCAGGTTGATCTTAGATTCTGTTCGGTGCACATTTCTCTTTTCAGCTCTGTCTGTACCAATTTATATATCAATCTTTCCATTTTATTTGTCTCTCTGTACGTCTATTGATTATTCTATTTACATTGGCGTCAATCCATTCGAATTATATCACAATATCTATCAATCTATAATTTGTCCATGTATTTGTCCCTCTGCCTGTTTTTTTTCTTCAGTCTGCGTGTTTGTCTTTATTGAATGTGTACGTCGGTTTGTGTGCCTTCTTTGTTGATTGCTTTGCATGTTTCGTTTGTCTGGCTGGTTTTGGAATGTCGTATATGCCGTTACCGACACATGTCTTTGTTCTACTTCTTTTCTACCTCTCGGTTATTTCCATAGGCTACTTGTTATGTAAATTCATATTATTATATAGAAGAAAAAAACGCAGTGTCTATTTGTACAGGTGACCGTATTATACAAGTGGCCGTCATGGCAGGTTCGACTGTACATGTATCTATTTTGCTTTCTTATAACGCTAAAAGCTAAGTGACCAGTTTGTTTGTTGTTGTTTTGTTTGTTGTTTGTTTGGTTTTTTGTTGTTGTTGTTGTTTTTGTTGTGGGGTTGTTGTTTTGTTGTTGTTGTTTTTTTGGGGGGGCGAAGGGGTTGTTGTGTGTGTGTGGTTTTTTCTTTTCTTTTTTTTTGTATCAATCATCATCATCATCATCACCGTTTCCTTTCTCATCCTGGATCAGGGTTTAGGCCACGAACAAACACTTTCCACTTTTCCCCAGCCCAGTCTAGCGACTTGAAATTATTCCCTCTTTTCTGTACATCAGTTTCTGTGTCTCTTCTCTAGGTTCCACGTGGTCTTCCCCTTGATCTTTTACTCTGCTGATTCCAATCCTACACTTTGCTTGTTATGCAGCTGCCTGACTTCCTGAGAGTATGTCCAATCCATCGCCACGGTCTTCTTCCCACCTCATCTCTGACTGGGTTCTGTCTTGTTCTCCTTTAACTTAACACTTCCTCGTTGTTAACTCTGTCTGTCCCTCTGATCCTCAGTAACATCCTTTGACATTTGTTCAATAAAACCTGGATATTCTCTTAATGCAAGTCTAAGATGCGTTCAATGTCTCACAACCATTCAACAAGAATGACTTCACATTTGAGTTAAAAGTCCTCAGTTTTGTTCGAAGTGAGATATCCCTGGTCCTCCAAATCCTGTTCAAAGAAATGTGCCTTTCCGATGCGGGATTTTTTCTTTAACGTACTTCAGAGTCAAAATGGTTTTCATTCCAGTGGCTCTAAAGTTCGCTCTGGTTCCATCACGCCCACGACCAGGGTACCTGGGTCAACCCCTCGGGCGTCCAGTGTGTTTGAGTGGACTGACCAGGCCAGCATTACCGGGGCGTCACCGAGGCCACAGTCCTTCAGGCAGAGTAACAGAAATTCGGTATGCCCCACCCCCCTTCCTCCTCTCTGTCTGTCTGTCTGTGTATCTGTCTGTCTGTCTGTTTGTCTGTCTATATATCTCATTCTCTCTCTCTCTCTCTCTCTCTCTCTCTCTCTCTCTCTCTCTCTCTCTCTCTCTCTTTCTCTCTCTCTCTCTTCTCTCCCTTCCTCTGTGTGTACGTTGGGGGTTTTTTGGTTTTTGTTGTTGTTGTTGTCTTGGTTTGTGAGAGAAAGGGAGAGAGATGAGAGGGACAAAGAGACAGACTGACAGACAGACAGACAGACAGACAGACAGACAGACTGACATATAGACAGACAGACAGACAGACAGACTGACAGACAGACAGACTGACAGACAGACAGACAGACAGACAGACAGACTGACAGACAGACAGACTGACAGACAGACAGACAGACAGACAGACAGACTGACTGACTGACTGACTGACTGACTGACTGACTGACTGACAAGTAGTTGATGGTAAAGATGTTAGAGAGAGAAAAAATGAGAGAGGGAGACAGAGAAGGCAAGTTCCCGTTCTCTGTCATTAAGGACAATGTACCCATTTCTTCTGCTTTTACATCAGATCTCACTAGAGGCTGCGGTTGTCTTGATCTACATCTTTGCCCTAAAAGGTGTACTCAACATCATCCATTGTGATGTTAAACCTATAAAGCTGCTCAAAGTTGCTTAACTTCTTTTTGTTTATACTGGACCCAACTGGACTAAACTGGACTAAAAGGGGGAAAAAAAGCAACCTCCGTCCTCCCTTCCACCTTCCCGACTGCCTCAGTTTTGTTAGTGGTTGGAAAGTGCTATACGTACCTCTCGTCATCTTTTGAAGGCCTCTGTTCAAGTTTCTCGGCAATAAATTAGACAACTCGTATCCTGTTTCATGGCTTGTGTGTTATTTTTGCATATTTCTCTCTCTCCATTTGCTGACCCACTTCTTTTTATAGAAACAGTTTTGATTTTATTCTAACGCAATTGCGAGCGCAGTGAAACACTTACCAATACAAAACAAACAAACATTTTATTCTTAATTTTATGGTTTCATAATTATCTCCTTTTCTTTGTACCGGTACTTCAAAGGTTTCTTCTATAGTCTCGAATCTCGTAGCTTGAATGTTGCAGTAGGTTACAAACTCGACTAACACTATCATACTGAAATTCAACTTTAAATGTAGGCTACCTACTTAATAATTTCTCCCTTCCTTCATAAATCATATCCTCTCAGTCCAGTGACCTAACATTGCTAATGAGCTACCAAGTTCTCTGCCTTTAGAATAACCTGTACTGTGTCTAGTAGTAATACTTAATAGGAGGGTTATAATGGGACTTTAACCGTAGCAACTATAGTCTGTGAAACGTGAATAAATAAACCAAGAAACAAAGTTGTTTTTTTTCTCCATGCTGATCTAGGTGACTTTAGCTGATGAGGGCGAGAGTGAAGAAGGTGTTGTGAGCCTGTACCGATGGAACGCTAGTGATCAGGGACTGCGACTTCAGCGGCAGCTCACACATCTCACCTCAAGCAGAGCCATGAAGAGAGCCTCAGAGGTGTGTAAGATGTGTCCATTGACATTAACTTTTAACTGTTTCTGTGCCTGTCACTGGTACATATCACAGCTTTTCTTTACAGTGTATGACGATGTGGTGATATATTGTGACATAGAAAGGGTTAATAATGCTTCCGGATATCACATCAGGTTAATTTTTTTTTACCAGTTTGTTGTACAATCTAAACTTCTTCTTATAGCTTTTAAAATGGGGGGGGGGGGGGGGGGGGGGGAGCTCTCTTGCTTGGAGATGGAATGTTTGCATTTCAAACCAAAGTACCCTTCTTCCTTTTTGGGTTCATAAACACATGGTCTGCAGATAAGTTGGTTTTGTGGAAAATCCAAAATCAGCCAAGTCCACCTAGATCGACTTGTAGTGAAAAATTAAGAGTTAATATTCACTAAAATTTTAGAAATCTGGTCCGTACAAACTACAAATAATAAATTTTTGAAAACTGTTAAAACTGACACAAGGCTGCCTGAACAGTGAGGGTGGAATAGTACATTCTTGTTGGAAATTGGTCTATGTGGGTAACAATTGGTAGCATTTTGGGTTGAAAGACCTACAATCATCTATTCTTTCGGTTTTGCTGGAAAATTCAGAAGAATTGAAAGAGAAATAGAGCATTAAATACTGCATCATCTTTTTGATTGCGTCATTTGCAGTATGTGGGTGGTTAGCGGGTGCTCTGGTGTGGTTTGCTTCTTCTTTCCTATCAAACATCTTTTGTCCTTATCTCCCCTTCTCCTTTTTTATGTTTGTTACTCTCTTGTAACACCTCTAATCTTCTGGCGCTCATATGACCTTATGCTGTTGCAAACGCTGTAAAACCTCTACTAAAATTAAACAAACAAAAACTTACAGTATTTATCCACTTATCACAATATAATACCTTTTATGACATAATAACCTCAGTTTATTATGATGTTTGTTAATGATGATGTGGGGTCGGTGGCCTGGTGGTTAGGCTCTCGGACTCGCAACCGTAAAGTCATGGGTTCAGATCCCTTCAGGCGCCCGACATTGTGTCCTTGGGAAAGGCACTTTGCACAAATTTTCCTCACTTCACCCAGGTGGAAATGGGTACCCGGCCATAGACAGTGAACGATATTGTCAGTTTGATTTTGATAGTGTTTGAGCGCATGAAATCCTCAGCTTGCACTGTAGGCTTCCGCAGAAGCCAAGAATGTTTCTGAATGTTCTCAGAGGGTCTGCTGGGGTAATAATAGTTGTAAAGCGCATAAAGCATGCTCTTGAGCATGGATAATATGCGCTATATAAATGCAATATTATTATTATTATTATTATTATTATGATTGTTATGATGTGAGTGATGATCAAATAAGTGAATGCTTTTGTAACAACTACATATGTACAGTGATGATGTTGCCTTTTCTAATACCCGGTAATGTTTCTTATATATATGAAGCTGGAATAGGCGAAATATTAAACTATATTTCTTTTAATGCTTGTACTTGTATATATATTGTCATCAATTTTAGTGATCTATACTGTTAAATTTGTAGTTATTGTTTTTTCATTCAATATGTTTTTTTTACTTATGATTTCCTTTGTGGGACTGCATTTCTGTTTTTTCTTCCTTCTCCTCTTCCATTCCCCCTCACTTGCTCTACACAGATCATGCATCATCGGCTTGACCCAATGTACCTCATGAGTGGGTCAAAGGTCAGCCTCCAGCATAAATATGACATTGATGAGTCAGAAATGAGGAGACTCCAGGAGATGTCACAAGTCAGAGAGGACCTCCTCTCTGATCTGAAGAAAATGTGAGGGCAACTGCATTTGTGTGTGAAAGAGAGAGAGAGAGGGAGAGGGAGAGAGAGAGGGAGAGGGAGAGAGGGCGACACAATGAAGGGAGAAAGACAGAAAGAGATGGAGGAAGGGGAGAGAGAGAGGAAGGGGGATAGGAAGAAGTTTGATTGATAGTTGTAAAGCACATAGAGCCTGCTGTAGAGTATATATGGGCTATGTAAATGCAATTACTATTATTTTTTATGTTTAAGTCACAAGGGTGGGGATGAGGGGAGGTATCCGAAAAATTCATGAACTATGCTATTATGTAGCCCACTTCTAATTTCTAAATCATCAGTTCCTTTTACTTCTGCAATCTACAGGAAATTTCCATATGGTGCAAGGGCATCTACACATATTGTGGTGAGTGAATATGTCTGTTCAAGCTAATTATCCTTGATTATGTTATCATTTTTATTTGAATTCTTGATACAGGCTGCAGTATTCGCTTTTTTATTTCATGATATAACATAAACAGCCAAACTACTTAGTGCTAGATTTTTATGATTATGATAAATGCATTTACATGTACTTTCTGTGGACACTTTACTTTATACCGAGCAATATGCTTGTTTGCTAGAAATGTGATCTTTAAGTATCCTACCAAAGTAAATAATAAATTGCAAATCAGTGTCTTAATTGCTCTAGAACTAGAAGCTAGTTTCTTTTGTTCAATGTTTGCTTCATTATATTTTCACCAAGAAACAAGATTTGAATCTGGTGAATGTTCTTTTAACTTATAAGACTGACCATTCTGTCTCCTTATACAAATTGCTTTTCATTGGAGGCTCTTTTGTGTTTGTTCAGGGGTTTGTCTTAAGATCAAATGTAGTGTATTGTGCTACAGTCAAATCTGCTTTTATGAACACCTGCCTAATAAACACTTCCCACTCTTTTGGGGTTTTTTTTTCTTTATTATAAAATTAAAATTTTACACTGGCCTAGACACCCTCTTATCTAAAACAATCATTTTTCTCCTTGATACTCTTAGATCTTCTTGAGCGATTTCAACTGTATTTCCTTGGAGCTCCCTGGAGCATGAATTGAATAATCATATTGTTTTCTTAATTTTTCCCTTGAACAGAAAACTTTGAAGCAGAACAACATGGATCCACGAGTGTCTAAAACTTCAATCTCACAGAGAAACCAGGAGATGCCTTCACTCAAGCCTGACAAGGTCCACTACCCAACCCCAGCTTCAGAACCTGCATTAAATTCTTCACGAGTGCCAGAACGGCCATTGTCAGAACACTCGGATACAGAACCCTCATTGAATGGAGTAGAATGAAATTGTGAACACTTCATACCAATCACTGTATTAGCCCTATAAGGTTTTTTAATAAGGCACCCATTATTGATCATAAAATTACAAAGTTGCTTTTAAAAGTAAACATTTGGTGTGCATTTAAATGGATTTTTCTCCCTTTTCTAAAACTGAAAAATGTGTTTATTTTTCCTTCTAAAAGTATTCATGCAGTACAAAGTTCTTTATCAGCACATGAACTTGATTCTAGATGTGATTTTAGAACTACGATTCCAGTCACTTTAGCCTCATTTTACAAGGCATCCAGTACTGTCTCTGACAAGCTGTTGAGATACTTATACTTTACAACTAAGTACAGGGTCAATAGTTCAGAGATATTTCACAAGTTGCATAATCCTGTAACTAGTTGTGTTGTGGGAAAAGATTCTACATTCTACAGAGTAAATGAAAACACTTCATCTTATCATTACATGCAAGATGTTTATTTCATTTTTCGTTTCCTTTTTGTATCATTCTCCCCAAGTGCATTAATATCATTGACATATGAACATTTGTTGAGGTTTTTTTTGTTTTGCTTTTAGTGGAACTTTATTTTTCTTGATTGGCAAAGAGTAAATTGAAATAGATAGGGGGCCCAAGTTATTGAGTCAGTGGAAATAAATGTTGACCTTTGTCAAATGATGTACCAAACAAATATTGTGAAAGAAATGGTTTTTGAGAGAGAGGATCAATATTTTTCGCAACATCCTCAGCGAAGTGTTGCAGGGTGTCTTTTGTAGAGTTAAAGGAGTATGGGCATTACGGTATGTCTCTGTCAACACAATGCAAACTATGAAAGTGGAAATTCTCCAGATTCACAAAAATGTCGTTGATGACATAGGAAAGAGCTCCTGACTTCATTAAAAAGCATTTATGGGAATACTGGGTGAAAGGGAACGCGTTTGATGAGGTTTTGAGACTTTTGATTGTGCTAACTTACTTGTATTGCATGTTCCGTAAGAATGCATTTTGCAAAATGTTTAGTGAAGGGACAAAGTGAATTTTCAAATGTGTGCCAGGCAAATATGAATGATATTTAATGCTTTAGAAACTCCGTCCAAGATATTTAATCTATCTAATGTAAACAGGAAATTTGTGCCACTGTACACAAACGTGTTTTCAGTGAGGTCCACAGTGTGAATTGTCCTGCATTTGCCTAAATTCCTCAATGCCCCTGGGTAATTAAATTTACACATTATGGATCTTGAGCATCTTTCTGGAGACTTATGAAGAGAAAGGTGAACATCTACACCATCAGTTACATACATATTGCAAACTTTTAAGTATAGGTTCAAGTATGTGTGCAAGATTCTGCGCATCCTGTCACACTCGGATGGTTAAGGACTGTTGTACGGATAGGGTGATGCTTCTATCATACATAAATAATACAGACTTCAACCTAAGTTAAGGACCACCTTGACAGACAGCCCTGATTTTTAAAAATCCGAAAAAAGACATCAAGGAATGTTTCAAATTTTTATGCTCTGAAAGTGTTGATGGGTTAACAATGCCTACTGCAAAGCTTCCTAAAGGTGCAAAACCGCAATGTGCAGCACGGAAATCCTCGGGGAATTTTGGCCAAATTTGAAGTGGTTCTTGACTTATGTTGAAGTCTGTCGTATGACGTTACCTACTGAATTGTGCTTTGTTTGCATATATTGATTCACATTGTTATGTACAGTCTGTGATACTGTTATATTTTGCTCCGGGGTTAACTTTTGTTATAATTGTTTGAGGATGTTCTCGTCATGTCCTTCCTTTTCTACACAACTGCAGCCTCCTGCTCTGCTGCTGGACCTGCCATTCCATGACATTATAATAAAAAAGAAATGCTTTTAACTGATCAGAAAAGATTTCAGAGTTGTGTTCTTTAACCTTATTCGTATGTTGTGTTTTACTATTGTATCCATACGAAGTGGGGAACTCTGTGCTACCACTTTCCAAAGAGGAAATTTACTCGTTAATCCGATCCATACGCTTTGCATAGCAGTCTGTCAAAATGATTTTTTGAGAAATACTGAAAGTTTCAAAGAGATCTTTGCACTAGAAATATTCTAAAATGTGAAGAATATAACCCCAGGGGTACTAAATGACTCCAGGGCGTACGGATAGGGTTAAAACATTTCAGTTTTCAGCCTTGAACTTGAGTAATAAGCAGCAGACTTACTAATTCAAAATGGATTGTCAGTGGACAGAAAGTTGAATTAAAGAACATATTTCAAGTGTCTGTGTTTTACCCCTCTCCCTGTGTTAGGAAAAGTTCACAAGATTAACATGTAGGCTACACAATACATATAGATAGGTGGCGAGTCCACTGGCGTACTAACAGTAGTACTATACTTCTAATTTTCAATGTAAAATTTGGCCCATATCACACAAGACTCACCATCAATTACAACACAACAGCAGTACACACTGTCTAATGCCATTAGTAAGGGTAATAATTGAAGGCTCCATTTTGATTACAGAAGACTTTGTTATACAGTGGAATCCTGTTAAAACGAGAGGGAGGGAACCGGAGCAAAATGTCCGTTATAGCAGGATTCTCGCTATAAGGGATCCAGTAACAAATTCAAGGGAAACTGTAAAGTAGGCCTAATCTTTGAGTTTGGTGTTCTGTTTATTTCCTTTTGCCATCTCCCCTGATGATGATTTTGTTTCAAAATGATCTCTAGGTCTTGCTTGATCAAAAATCGAATCAAGATTTCTTTCTCTAGTTCTAGATCTAGCGATGTGGACTGACAGCTCGACGTTGGTGATCAAAAAGAAAGGGCTCTGGGCTAACTCGCCCGCTGTGTTTTCCCCCACCCCACCCCAGGGTGCATTTTGTCAGCTTGCGCACGTCACATATTCGCTCCATCCATCACATTTCTGTGACCTCTCCATCCTCACGTCGGAAAAGTGAGAGGCATGGTAGGCCTTGATAATCTAAACTAGGCTTACGCTGGCCTATCACGCAATGCGTTCTGCTTGTCTGCGCATGCCACACCCTCCCTACTCAGTTGCTCCAGCCTTCATTGTTGACGCACATGGGCTCTCCTATTCTTTGTTACGCAAGATCACCAACAAGTTTCTCAACTGGAGGGTTTTGTATTATAATTATGTATAATTGGCCTGTGTGCTGTGCACAGCAGCAGCAATGTTCCGCTATACCCGACTCGCATGTTTGTCTGATAGCGCTATAGCAGTATTTTATTTACAAAGGTAAAGAGGAGAAAAAAACGGGGTTTTAGAATAGTGCCTTTATAACAGACTTCTCGTTTTTTCCGGACTCCTTATAAGTGGACTCCACTGTACAAACATATAGCCTTTTAAATACAAAATACCTGTTACCATGAAAAGATTTCATATCTAGGGGGGTCCTTTCCCCTTTATTGAATATTCTGCAAATTGCAACTTTCCTAACACTAGCATGAAATCTGCTGCACACAAAGGAATTCTGTGGTACATGAAGTCCATGTTGTCTGGGTTTTAGTTTTAACTAACTGTATATATATTTGTATTTTCTCAAATTTGAGGATAGTAGGGGCAGTTGACAGGAACAAAATTTCCTGTCTTTTTACAGAAATCATTGCACTGGTACCAACACCAAACTCTGTACGATGAGTGATTCCAATTGTTTTATTTTAAAGTACAAAAGCACTCAATAGTTAAATAACTTCAATGGCCACACACACACACACACAAAGTAAAGAACAAATTAAATTCAGGAACAAGCTCACATAAGTCATAATTGATACCGCATGCATTTTTCATACTTATGTCAATGAACAAGGCTTATCAAAACTACAAACGACTAAATGAAAATCAAAAGTGTGTGCTCTAGACAGATATGAGAAAGAAAAGGAAAGGCTAAGTGATTGTTTAGAAAATAACGTAAGTATAAACCATCTTTATATTCATTTAAAAGCAACAGTTTTAGTCATAATCCTGAATCAAATGGTTTACAAACTTTATGGGGCTCAAACACACAATATATCTAAATCTTTCACTTGAGAGCTTTTCTTCTTCAGCATTTGATATTACACATGACTTGAACAAAAACAGCGAGATAAGAAATAAAAATTTATGTGCCAGAGATAAGATAATACATGGCAAAACTAATGATGGCAGCAAAGTCCATCTCATGGTAGTGTTTGGGGGTGGGACCTGCTCTACTGATCCGACTGTTTAGACAAAAGTATGTGCGAAAAGTAGCCAGGCAGAGCACCACGTTTTTGATAGACCAGCATTATTAAAGCACACTTACATGATCTGCACCACACTCAAACAAGGCACTACTGCAAAGGACTAAAACTCCAATGCAAATAAATACTTGCTCCGAGCCCCTCACTCAGTGCTACAAGAAACGGAGCTTATCTTTTTTCATTACTAAGCACATCTTCAAATATCTAAGAGCACAAGACGTTGCCATTCTGTACTTTTCTTAGACAAGCCTATGATGATTAAGGACAAACTCGACAGTTAAGATTCAAAGGTTTGCTCAAAAAAGAACAAAGTCAAGAGTCATTGTCTCAAAGTCATGAAGTAGGTAAAGATACTTTTGTTTGTCTCTTAAAACTTCACGGTTACACTTAGATCAGCAACCCCTTCAGAAAAAAATTCCCAAAAATGAAAGAAAATATGGCTAAAATAGTTGTATCACAACACCTCCTCCCCCCTAAAATGTCCTCTTCATTCCCTCTACACAGACCGCTAACAGACTTGCTCACAATTCAAGTTGCATTTCATATAAAAATATGAACACATTGCTTCCTAAGTTTATAACCTAGAGATGTTTACAGCAGCAACAATAGTCACTGATAGGAAGCTAAGTCTTAACATATTTTTATAAAATCATATATCATCTTTCCACACCTCTGGGACACATTTGGGAAAATTCCCCACAGAAAAAGGTAAGCATCACACAAAGATGTCTAATTGCACTAATTAACCAATCATCAATCAACGAATAACAAGGTAAGGAAAAAAGCAAAAAACAATAAAGTATTCTTCGAACCCCCAAAAAACTGCAAGATTTTACTTCTGCCGTCAACAATAAGAACACCATTCATCCATTCATACATGTTAAGCCATGCATTCAGTTACTGCCCCCATCAAGCTCAGGGCACACCAAAAAGCCTTGAATAATTGGCAAAGGCAAAAGGAGACTCCAGTCAATATGACCAGACACTCTTGCAGATCACTGGGAGCGGTCACTGGGAACACACTAAAAGTCATCATCCTCATCGTCAAGATTTATCCTTCGCCTGTCAAACTGGATTTTTATGGAGGGGGGAGGAATGAAACACTTTAAGCCAGTCGGAAAAACAAGAATTTACAAAAAATGTTTATGCTAATGTGTGTAAGACACCATGTGTGTGTGTGTGTGTGTGTGTGTTGGGGGAGGGGGAGGGGGTTGTGGGTGTGTAGGCATCTTTGTTCACAGGAGGGGGTATGTACCATAATTTGAGTTATGGATAAGCACACTTACTCAATAGTCAGTATTTAGTTCAGAAAAAAAAAGCTAAACAAAAAGAACCAATAAAAGGATAGTAAAGAAATAGCACCCACCAGGTCTTCTCTAATCACTAACGGTCTTGCAGGAGAGTGGAGGTGAGTGTTCTGTGTGGTATTCACATTGACAACTGTGCATGAGTCTGTGATGGTCAGAGTATATTGCCGCTTATCATTTCAGGAACGGACCATGTAAATTACTAAGTTTCACATTTTAAGGGAGTGTCCTGGTCGAGAACTCAAGGAGCTGAACACAAACTTTACAATCTTAGGTTCCACTAGCCACTTTGCCTTTGGAAGATGACAATAAAAAGGATAGACAAAATACTTATCTCACTTTATCTTGATTTTTTTCTTTTAAAAAAAAGGTAATTGACAACTAACAAAGACAGATGTGCATTAATATATGAGAACAGTAGGAGCATGATAGCTGCAGAATGCATTACATTTCAAAGTTCCATAAGGGACAGGGACAGTAAAATAGAATAAATCCTCTCATCAAAAGATCTGTTGTAACTTAAAGTCATGCAAGAATTTCATTAAGCACAGAGGTTACAAAACATCATGTTCCAATTAAAAGTTTTAAGAAGAGGTCAAACAGGGGCACTTTCAAGTAATTGGAAATATTACAAGACTGGAAGACAAAACTGAGGAAAGGGGGTCTATTTGCCTACAGGAGATAGGCCTGAAGCCTAGAGGAGCACCTAAAGAGAAGAAAGGTGATTTGTTGACTAGTTTTAGTAGGAGTTTTAAGGCACTTGCAACACAATAAGGTTACATGTATTTAAGTGCCGAAGACTAGAGGTGTTACAAGAGAGTAACAAACACAAAAAAGAAGGAGGGGAGATAGAGACAATAAATATTTTTTTTAGGAAAGAAGGAGCAAACCACACCAGAGCACCCGCCAACCACCCACATTTGTGGACTGACACCCAAGAAGAGAGCAAAGAAAGATTCAAATCAGGATGCTAATTGCCATTCAGATGCTATATTATATATCCACATTCAATTTGTTGCTGGGTTTTTTTAAAGGAGAGGCACAAAACGGTACAGCACATGACATATTGTTATATAAAAACTTGTTTGTTTGGGGTATTTATTCAAAGTAAGCACTAACCTTGACTGTAGTTTTCTTTTGAGTAGAGCTACTGACTTGCTCCAAGAGTCCAATAAGTGCTTGCTCTGACAACTGAGGGCAAAAAGTTCAGGTTAAAAGTACTTGTTTTGTAAAAAAGAGAAAAGCTGGTTTCTTTGTTTCTTTCAATAGCCTGCATAACACCACTCCTTGAAATCAGACAGCTGAAAAATGTTTTAAAAATAAGTTTTACAAACAAAATGCAACAGTCTTTTCTAAACTTAAGTAAAAGGCAGGGTAATCTGTACTCAAGACAACTGAAGATATTTCAATCACTCAATTCGCATTTAAAGTACACAAAAAGATCATGGCAAAGCTGTGAAATAATTTCTTCTCATGAGCTTCAATACTCAACATACTATTTGTTAGCATTCCAAACTATTTTTCTTTTCAGATATGAATATGAAATATTACATTTCAGGATAGAACAGGAAAATAAATAAAGAAAAACAAAAATATATTTTAGAAATCAGTCCACAAATAACTAAACTATTAATTTTTACAATAATTTGGACTTTTCAAAATGAACTTAGGCCATCTTCATAACCCCAAAATAATTGATATGCTGGTATGCATTGGAACAAACCACATTTGTCTTTCTAATCAACCCTAAAATACAAAAACAAAAATGGAAATAAACAGAACAGAAAGCCTTAGCATTTGAATTAAAGCCTTGAGAAAAAATGATGGAAAAGAGAAAATCCGGCCAAAAAAGGGAGTAAAATAGGTCAAAGACACTCTTTGACAGTGCCTTCTATCTAATCTATATGTACAAGATATATTATTTTCAGCTTCTGAACAAAGATTCTGCAGTCTCTATAGTGCAGGGATATCTTCTTTTTTTGGGGTGTAGGACACAAATTTGCAAAACTTTGGAAGGATCCAGGTATAAAATTCGTGTTCTGTAAGAAAATGCACATTGGGTAAATTGACAATTTTTTCAAAGATAATTTTTCAAAAAAACATAATTATTATATCAACAAATAATATTACAATAACAACATAATTTAAGATTTTCATATTACTATCACATATGATAGTGAGAAAATTATACAACATAGCAGGTGAGTGAATGAAAAATTTTAATGAAAACTAGAAGGGATGAAAAATGCAAAATTTCAGAATTTTTTTCAAGTTTACTTCTCTAATCACAGAAATGAACTGACTATCATTTAAAGGTTACCAAAAGATCTATTCTTTGAAAAAAAAAGTGGTAATCGATTAAAAAACAATCGTATTGTTTAAGACAGAATACACACGTTTTCAGTTTTCATCATGAAATTTAAAATATTAAATACAAACAATCTCTCCCCCCCAAAACCATTTCAAGAAAGTGCATTTTTTTCATCTACCCTGAGAATGGTTACAAAAATGCCTCTCGCAGCTTTGTATTTTCATATTTTAAATGGAAATATGAATGAGAACTAAATTTTAAAAACTCAAGGCTTGAGAAAAAAATTATTGGATTTTTAGGGGCATCATACAAAAGTTGAGGATTTCTTTTTTTACAATGACACCATTTGTGAATGTGTATCACTTACAGTTAGCATTCCCAAGTCTGACAAACTTGATCACTCATGCCCCTTGGGTGAGCAGAAACAACAAAAACTGTATTATTAGCCCAACAAAATTTTTTATTTAAAAAAAAATCTATGAGTGTGTTCCTGGTGAAAGGTACCAAATGAGGCATTCTGAAGAATCCCTTTTTTTCGCATTTTCATGTACAGATACCATTTCAGAACAATATGCCTTATGAATTTTTAAGATATCTTCAGTAGTTTTTTTTAGATATGGGTGATATTGTAAGGCAGGGTACGGAAACAAAGTTTTGAGAAAAATGGCATTAAAAATTTCCCCTTGGTTTCTGCTTCAAATAAATACCCTTTGAGACGACCTGACAACACATTCGCTACTCAAAAACCAACTTCAAAAAGCAGCTAAGATAAAAGAATGGCTTCAAAGTGTTTACATTAAGTCTTCAAAACAAATTCACCGCCACCTTAAACAAGATTTTCAGGAAATAGATTTGCGCATGGCAGAAATAGACGATACAAGTTTGTTCTCCAAAGAAACAAAAGGGTGTGGATGCCCAAAGCTTCGCTTTGTTTACATGTCCTAAATAGTCAAACGCACTACCAGCCATTAGAGAGGGGAGAGAATGACCTAAATGTTGGTATGCATTGTGATTGGGTCCTCTTTACGAATGGACAAGAGAAACCATCTGCAGTGTTGACTCGGAAAATCGAAAAACCAATTTTCTCATACATTTTGGGGGATTATGCAATATACCTCGTGAAAAAAAACATCTTTAAGAACGTATTTTAAATTTTAAAAACTCAAATTTTTGTAAATATCGATATTAATGGCTAAAGAATCCATTTTGAATGGAACTTAGTTTTTGTTAAAAATTATATTTTTGACCTTTGAAGCCTGATATCTCAGATCGAGCAAACGCATCTTTTGGTACCTTTCACCAGGCACGCTCACATATAAACATTATACCCCTGGAAAGAAAAAAAATTGTGTTTTCTTGTGAGAGTAATATCTCTTTGGAGAAAATGTTCAAGTTGCAGTCATTTTGAAAGATAAAGATGCTAAATTCTGCCATTTCACCTATATTGGTACTGCATTCGTTGTCATGAACAGACAGTTTAGAGTGCCTGCTTGTTATATACTGTCAGTTTAATCATTGGAAAAAATCAATACTTATGCGAAAACAAAGTTTATATTAGTATAATAAAGAGCCTTTTCAGATAATTGTGGAATCTGCTTTTTAAAAAAAACATTATTCTGTTGGCTGCCAAAGTAAAAAGGTTCCAATCCAAGGTGAGTTTAGAATATGCCCACTTCTTCTCAAAATTATGTCCCCTCTGTGTAATTTCTTAAAAACCAAGGGCCAGATTTTATAAAAACCTCTTCAGAATTATTTTTTTTTAAAGCAAAACTGCAACAATGCTTTACACTGACCTTCTGACCCTGCAGTTGACCAGACCTCGCCATCTGGATGATGAGACTTTCGACCATCTTTGCTTTCTCAGGCTTGGCCACAGCAATTGTATTCACTGTAATATTAAAAAGCACAAATAAAGAGAACAGTAAAGGCAGAGGTAGGGGAGGGAATCCATACTGTAGTTTTCACTTTCAGAGATTAAATTACAACTTTGCTGCATGCTGCCACAAAACAATGTTTTTTTTAACACACACACACTCACACAAATGAAACATGCCTGGGCTTAGTAGGACACTTCACCCGCATGGAGGACGGTCACATTTGACTAAAGACCTTTTCTAAGCAGAGCTGGCCACAGGCTGCACTTCACAGACCTCAAGGCCTTTGCCATTGACACCAAAACCTGCTCGAGAGTGAACACTGCATGCAAAAAAAACCCACATATGTGCACTTTCACTTCACCAAACACAAACGCACGAAAAAAAGTAGCAGATAAAAAATGCAAGCATACAATCTGAAACTATGGTCATCCTTACAGCGAGTTCTAGCAGCCTGTTCCAATACTTGGCCCAGAATAACATTCTTCATTTCTTCCTGTTTGGCCCTTTGCTCAGCCTGGGCTTGGGCTCCGCCATCACCTCCCTACAGAAACAAAAACGACATGACAGAAGTGACATGTAGCAGTCATGTCTTGGGTATTTCATTTAAGATACAAATGAATACTAGTGGGCTCATTTTATTATGATTGTACTGAAACTAAAATGAGCCTAATCCTGAAAAAAAAACAAACCCTCAGTGACTATCAAAATAAAAGTTCTAAGAGATCATGTGTAATCAACCTTTCTATACATGGCGGTAAATGCTGGACAATCATCAAAGACAGTGAAAATAAAATAGAAGCAACAGAAATGTGGTCTCTAAGGAGACTGTTGAGAATTTCTTTGACGTAAAAGAAATCAAATCATGAGGTAATACTTGACGAAGCTCACATGAGACACTCATTGACGGAAATAGACATAAGTTTATGGGCGTCCGATATATCTAGCTCTCAATGGTAGTTTTGTTCAAGGAAACGAGGCAGGGAAAGATAGACTCCAAACAACTTACTTGGAAAGTGTAAACAGATGGGCGACGGGGAAAGATCGGATTAATAAGAGGCTTTTTTTAGAGCATCCAAACAAAAGGATGAATGGCAAACCATGATCACCGATGTCTGTGTCACAGACCTAGCACTTGAAGATAATGATGATAGTCAAAGTAGTGCTAAACCCCCGAAACACTTTTCATTCATTCACAGCCGAATTTGCAAATTTAGGAAGGAAAGAAAATATTTTTTCTTCTGTTTGAGAAATACCATGAGTCTGAATTTGTGAATTTCCAGATAAATTACAAAAATTTACCTATAAAAATAGGAAGGTTTCAAAATGCATGGCTTCGCTATATTTCTGATATAATGATAATGTGTCACAATGCGATGGAATCAGGTGCTCATCAATTTTTGGGCATGTTAGGAGTTATTTGGTATCTTCATGGCTTGTTCATTTGTCTTCATTTTGATTTTAAAATACCCATCCATCTTGAATAGGAGTTGAGGTATTTGCGATTGAAGAAGGTGGAGGTCGTCTAGTGTCAGATCCTTGGAAGTTGCATATTTATATTTGGGTACATTTCATCAATATTTTCAGTCAAATCCACACAGATGTTTCAAAAGGACATATATTTAGGTATTGAGGCGAACCATAAATACGTAAAAATTGCCCAACGGGCGGAAAAATTTCAGTCTCTTCAGTTTTACTATTTTGATGAGCGCCTGATTCCATAATGCAACATATTATAAATTCAGTACTCAACTCATAAAAAACCCAGGCTATTTTTAGCCAGCTAACCACCAAAGCCAAGATCATTTGGGATTTGATTTTAAGTCAAAATTAATAACTAAAAAGACAAGGAGTTGAGAACTGGCTCCATGTTATTTTAAATAAACCAAACTTTATGATTCCATAATTCAAAAATTATAAAATTAGAAGTTACCATACTTTTCAATGACTTACTTCATGTTATGATTTCACTGTTTAATATCAAAAGAGCACACTCAGTTACACTGAGTTGCCGTATGCTTGGCTCTACACAGCAACACAACTTTTTCTTGGTAAACAATCGAGATGACACAGGCTTGTGTTTTGTATTTGAACGAATCAGTCTTTTTTTTTTTACACAGCTCATAATATGCAGGTGCCAGGTGGTCTGCTAATCTTCAATTTCAACTTTTTCTACAACAAAGAAAGTGGAAAACATGGGGGGTGGGGGGGGGGGCGTATCAATAGAGGCGGCGGGCATCGGATCGGCAGATAAGGTGTGGGGGAAACTTAAAAAATGGCGGAAAATTGGAAGCACTGAACGTTAGATCTATAGAACGAAGACACTTTCTTTTTTCCCGGACCCGAGTCCGGTTCATTTTTTCATATTCGGACTCAAGTCCGAATGTGAAATTTGTTTATTCGGACTCGAGTCCGAATATGAAAAAAATGTTATTCGGACAAGACAGCCTTTAGGTTAGGGCCACCTCTATTCTCAGCAGGCGAGTCTTTTGGCTATCTCACCCGGTAGGCGTTCACCGTTATAGCCTAGATCTAGGCCAACCAATTTTGCGTTCACCCTAAACCACAGAATTCTATACTGTGATAACAGAACCGTGAACAAACGTTCCATTACTGCTGTTAGCCTACTTACTTAATTAAAGCGTACAATTTTGTCTGTGGGCAGTGGAAAGAGAGAGAGAGAAAGAGAGAGAGAGGAGTAGCGTGAGAACTTCCGGGCAAAACAAAATGGCGACCCGCGTAGTTCGGCTCGATTTGAAAAGTTAAATGGCCGTAGCATCTTTGTAGATGATCAAATTAATTTACTTTAGTGTTTTAACATCATTTTTTAACTTTATTTTGGTCAATTTGATCATCCACACCGATAGACAGTATTCAGAAAGAGACAGAGAGAGTAGAGAGAGAAGAGGAGAGGAGTAGATCTTGCGAGAACTTCCGGGCAAAACAAAATGGCCACCCGCGTAGTTCAGCTCGATTCGAAAAGTGAAATAGCCATAGCATCTTTGTAGTTGATCAAATTAGCTTACTTTTGTGCTATGCTATATATATAGTATAACGTAATCTTTTCTTTGCCTTTCATTTGATCATCCACATCGATAGAAAGTATTCCGACATTAGGAAAAACAGGTCTTGTTTCACACCGGGTGAGAATAGCCTACGGTGGCAAGTCTCACCCGGGGTGAGAGGTCGATCGTATTTCTATTCTCACCCTGGGTGAGGATAGCCACTTCCTTTAGTACTTTAGTTAGTTAGGTCTAGGTAGGCCTCTTCTTTATTGTGTTTGATGGGGTGGTCGCTAGTTCCAAAACCAGAAAATGCCACTTTTCAATGATAGTGGCGGAAAGAGGGGGGGGAAAAAAGCAACTGAACTGAAACATCGACTCGAAATTGATTGATTACCGGCAGATAAAGGTTAGTTAGGTGCTTTTATATATACTCTATGATTTCAACAATTACAATGCCTGACATTTGATTCATTCTATGTCTAATTAGTAATATTCACCTGTTGCTGCTGCTGCAATTCAGCCATCCTGCGAGCTCGAATAGCCTCCAGCTCATCATCAGCCATTCTAGTTATATTGCTTTATCACTTGATTCAACAGACAAATTCTGAAAAGAATCGAGCCTACTTGTCAGCGTGAATTCCAATGAGAAATCACAATTTATCGCAACTATTCGCAACCCGTTTCCAATGCTCTCACAGTAGCCTCCCTTGTTCTTGGGAATACTTAAAAGAGAAATACTTCGCTCACATTACAACAAAACAATAGTCAACTTGGCGAAAATATAGAGGTTCAATATTATTTCTTTTCAGACTCTATATGTTGATGTATATGTGTTTATATGATATATAGATCTAGGCATGGATTTGTGTGTTTTTTTGTTTGTGTTCATTCATATTGTACGTTATCCTTTTTTGGTTTCAGGTATAAAATAATATTCGAGTTAAAAATAGAATCGGCTCTTTTTAGGTCGGGTATTTTAACATACAAATAAAGGGAAGCTATTCCCAAATTCGAAAAATTGTCCAGACCTTTCTGCTATACTTTCACTTTCAGCTCAACTGCCTAATCATCTTACGAACATTTCATTCCAGCCTTAATTGGTAATAATATTTAATATGTCGTCAGGTGAAACAGCTGTTACTGTTATTGCAGCCTCTGCGGAAAGGAAAACTTTCTCTAATCCCAAGGGTAAGTGTCCTTAGACAACTGGCAAGAAATTCCACACAATTCACGTCCTTCATTTACAAATTACAACAATACTACTAATATATTTATATCTCTAGATATAGAGATATAGATATAGATGTAGATGTAGATCTAGATAGATCTAGTAATAGATCTATATCTAGTACTAAAACTAAAAGTTAACTAAGCTAGTAGGCCCTGCTTCTAGAGATCTACTTCTATCTAATCTAGATCTAGGATCTAGATCTAGATCTATATATACTATATATAGGCCTAGGTCTATATTAATTTTAAGATACTAATCTAGATCTCGAAATCTTGTTAACTAATCACAATTAATTATGATAAAGGCACTGCTGGATAGTGTATCTTTTATAGAATCAGAATGATAGGTCTACTTTGACGTCTTTGTTTTCAAAATTACAAATTACAACCGTATTTTTCTATTTATAATCTAGATCTAGATGTAGGATCTAGCATAAAAATTCGTCCCATAACCAAATAATAATAACCCTCAAGCGGTGCTGGCGATTATATATAGATTCTCTCTATAGATATAGTCACGATCGAGGTCCATATATGTTATGTTGGTCACACCCCCACAACGGTACTCTCGACTATTATCATGATTACAAGATGGTGAGTTTTCTAATTCATCGCAAAGCTCCTGTACTTCCTGTACAACGCAGTCTGCTACAATACGTAAGAAGAAAGGTTCCTGTTCTTAGTTTTCGCCCGAAGTGGGAAACTGTGAATTGTGATATTTTTATGGGGAGAGTTCCACAGAGGGCCGGCACCTACCATGACAAGGTCCTCTGAACATACAAGAGTTAGGATTAGGGGTTAGGGTATAACCGCTCAAAATATCTCCTCTTATGTGTGTTGTTGGTCGGCCAGCCCTCTGCGGAACTCCTTCCTTTTTGTGAATGATGAATGAAAATCTAGACTCCGTTTGTTTGTTTTTATTAGCTTAGCTGCACGCTATCAAAATGGCTGCTCCCGCTAGATGTAACTTCGTTACAAGAACCCAATCGAATCAAAATGTAGGCTACGCAATCTTCTTGATGGTCTATGAGGATGACATCAATGATACAGATGGTGAAATAAGGTACTGGTTAATATCGAAAACTGACGAAACCCGACAAAACCTGACAAAATCATAAAAGCGTAGGCCTTTGCAAAATCAACCCTGGAAGCATCAGGCCATATATATATAGGGCATGAGCCGAGCTACCCGGGAATCACGCAGGTCCTATATAAGGCCGACCTATGGGATAATCCGGTTTTGGCCTCAACTATTACTGTGGAGTGTTAGGTTTTGGTTCCACCGACGATTACTTCTGGTTCTAAACGATTACTTTTCGACACACAAGCCGAAATGGAGAGATATCAAACCTAATTGCAAAACATCAAATTTTAATTATGGTTAAATTCAGGGGGGCATGCATTCTTGTGTGGCTCCTTCTCTGTACAGGTGCTTAATGAAAGCATTTTTTTGTGTGTGTGTGTTTAGGGGGAAGGGGGGTATTCTTACTGATTGGACTTCAGAAGTCAGTCCCGAGCATATATCTAGGCACATGTTCATAGCTGCATAGATCAAGATCATGCACACTGCAGATATCATGATATGCTCACTACTGGCTGAAAGGGGACAAAACCATAGTGCATACTGGGCAGTGAGGTGCTGAGGTGACTGAGTTGCTGCAGTAAAAAGACACACAATCATAACTTCTCATCACCACTCCTGTGACCTTTCTATGCACCCACAGCTTTTTTGCCAAGATTATCCTAAGTTTATTTTGCTGCTTTTTTCCTTTTGAATTATATAAAATAGTCTTGCTCCGACACTAAAGAGTTCACAATGTAAACGCCTCAAGCCAATCTATATAAATCAAATATCTTATAGTAAGATTGTTATTGCATATTGTGACTTTCAAGGTTTTATGTTTACATGATTTTTTTGCTCTAACTTTTGATGTGTTTATGACTACCCCAAACAGCCAGAGGACGCAGGACTGCACATCAAATCCCAGAAGAGATTCTCAATGATGTTGAGATCAATGCTGCTATTAAGCAGGTGAGTCCTCAAGATGAGTAAATTAATACCTTATTTCTTTTTTCATTTTTATTTTGTTAAAAATGATTCAGCAGGCAATGTAAGGTACTTGTGTTCAGCAGCTGACCAAGATGGCCCAAAACAGACAGAGCTGGAGATCCTTTGTTGCTGCCCTAAATGCCAGATGGCGTAATGGGTAGTAAGTAAGTAAAGGCTAGGTTCAAGGCTGAATATTTATTATAAAGAATTTTTTGGTACATCATAACATAGGACCAAGCTTTCTTCAATTTACAGAATACCGATGTAAATTTTTTAAATTAATTGGTTAGGTTCCACTATCTTCTTCTGCTTCACAGCTTGCTGTTACCTACCTGTGGAGTGTTGCCAGTTCTTTTGTTTATTCTCTAATTCCTTTTTCTTATGCAACTGTTTATGGCCACTGTTGATGTGGCTTTTAAAAAAAATATTTCTACATGACATTCTCGTTTTGCAAGTATCTCATGTTCATGACCTCCTGTTTAACGATCTATACAGATTTTTGTACTGATTCAGTTGTACTTTTCCTTTGTTTGTTTTTTTCAGCTACCTGAGAACTACAACTTTGAAATCCACAAAACAATCTGGAAAGTCCGTCAGACTGGAGCGCAACGAGTAGCCTTGCAATTTCCAGAGGGTCTGCTCCTCTTCTCCTGTGTTATTGCTGACATTATTGAGCAGTAAGTTTTCTCTTCATTTTACTTTCTATGATTGCAATGAGCGGGCAGCTTTTGTTATAAAGTTTTTTAACACAGGATTCATTCTTCCTTCGACTTTCTACTGCTTTTAAAGGGTAGCACAATTAGTGCATGTCCTGTGTGCACTGTTTTATGAACAGGAAAGCAACTATCAAGTAGTTGAATGGTGCTACTAGTCTAGTGGTTTGAATTCTAATCCTCGTCTGGACCCAACATTATGTCTATGGGAAGTGAAAGGCATTTCATACAAATTTTCCTCACATTACCCTAGTGAGAATAGATGTCCAATTAAGACAGTTGGAGAAAAATTGGGGAAAGGTCTCATCTGTACATTAGTCTTTGAGTTTCTGTTACAGTGGATGTCGCATTCAACGAGGTTGCCGGGACCGGCTTGTTGTCCTCGGTAGATCTGACCTCTCGTTGAACGTGACTAAGGCTAAAGAAAAGAAAGGAGACAAGTTTTTATTACACGATGTACAAGTACCAGTAATTGAAACAGTTTTTCCCCCTTATGAAGAAAATCTCAAACAAAATCTGTATGCATGTGTTTGAGCTGTGTTGTGACCGTCATTTCTGCTTTTTAAAATATTTTTTTTCCTGAACACTTCTCGTGTGGGAACATACCCTCTCACATCTAGGCTTAGATCTATAGATTTACTTAAAGTAAAGCCTGGAGCTTAGATTTTCTGATCAGGGGAAGAAAAGAAAATTGAAAAAATCCAGAGTTTATCCAGTTTCACACAGCCCGCATCGCTTTCCCACCCACCCCCTCAAATCCCTACCATTTGGGGCCGCTAATTGCTTTTATTTGGTTATCGCGACCTCATTGGAAGCGACTTCAGTCTGTTTGCAACCTCGTTGGAGCTGACGTACATTTATAAAAAGATATAGAGAGGGAAAAAAAATCGGGGATTAAAGATTGCCTCTTTGGAGCCGACTTCTCGTTGAATGTGACCTCGTTGAATACGACACCCACTGTACATGGCAATACTTATTACCTTTATAAATACAGGTACTTTAATCTTCAAACTAAACGTGCATCTACGCTTTTGTTTTAATGCTTTCTGTTGTATAATGTTGTAAAAGTAAAGGACTACTATATAATGTGCCATTTTTTATCCATTAAGAAAAACTTATCAGAGTATAGGTCAAAAAGAAATATCTATCTTTGAATGACAAAAATATCTATCTTTTAATGACACGTACAGGAAGCCTCCTGTTCATCTATGGAAGTGAGCAGCGCACAAAAGACTGGTTTTTCCATTTTAATTCTTTCCCTGGCTGACTCTTGTTTTGGAATCATACGAATACTCTTTGTTTGTTTGTCATAGATTTACAGAAGCGGAGACTGTCATCATGGGTGATGTCACTTATGGAGCCTGCTGTGTCGATGATTTCACTGCCAAAGCTCTCGGGGCTGACCTCATGGTACACTATGGACACAGTTGTTTGAGTGAGTGTTGAAGACACAATTTTTTTTTTAAAGTTTTTTTGTCAAAGCAAGATGGATTTTTTATTCCATTAACCGCCCCTCCATCTGAAGTCAGGCCTCTTAAATAATGTTCCTGTCATGATGGGTGGTTGAAACCCTAACCGTGTGATACAAAGACTAGACAGACTCGTCTTTGAAGGTGACGTGTAAACTTCTGTAGTTTTATGATAACTAAGCGGTTTTTAGCCGTTGCTGTGAGTCATTGTCGTTTCAGCTCAAGGAGTATAATTGAAAATGGAATGTCTTCATGTGTATATTTAATAAAAGTAGAATATGTGTCAGGATTCAACTTGACAAGTTTTGTTTACTCAGTTTTTGTTGATTTCTTCACTCCTTTTGGCTGTCCAGCTTTTCTGTCACATGTCAGTTTGGTCTAATTTCGATTATTTCAGTCCCAATCGATCAGACTGAAGGGATACAAATGTTGTATATCTTTGTGGACATCAAAATTGACATGATGCACTTCATGGACACCATCAAATTCAATTTTGATGCTGGAACCAGATTGGCCCTGGTGAGCACAATACAGTTTGTGGCTGCTCTACAGGTGAGTTGTTGTGCTGAGGGAGGGATTTTTAAGTAATGTGCAAAAGTGGTGATGGTTAGCGAGTACATGATATATATAATGGGTTCTCGTGGATCTTTTGCTTGCTTTTTTATGGATGGATACTCTTGATTTTTACAAATTTTTTGTTCTTAGCTATTTCGTTTTTTATGATCATTTTTATGCATTGCATTTACTCTTCTGGAAAAGGCAGTCACAGTTGTTCGTTTTATGTTACTCCGCAAGATCCTTGCTTCAGTTTTGACTATTGAAATATGATTTGAATTTTGTTTTTCTTTTTTCTTTAAATCAACTTGATGTATTGGTAAATTGTAGGAAATACATATTTTTTTTAAACCTGTGCTTTTTTAAACTCTTGGTAAGGAGTATAGTTTTGTCTAAAAAGTGTTTTTCACTTGAATAATGGCATGTTAACATGTTGAGCCATGCCTTGATTGGCAATGTAAGGTACGTGTGTTGGCTATTGTTCAGACGTATGGTTTTGAAAATGGTAAAAATGAATTTTGAAGGGCACAAACCACTATTAAAAAAATATTTTTTTCCCCTTGCCCATTTATATGAGATTGACGCCATCTGATTAGTAGAAAAAAGTGCATATGATAGTGTCCAATAGTGTGGTACGTGCATACTTAGTATAACAAGTAACTGTAATGGCAGATAGAGATTCCAGGATTATAGACATAAGTCATTGATCTGAGAGCAGTGATGATTTTAGACTCAATGGTGGTAATGAGTGAAAATGTGGGATTGCGTTTAAGAAATTTTAATGTTAGTGTTAGTCCTATCTTCCTCTGCTACAATGAGTCACGAAGGAAAAAAAACACCAATTTTAGAAAAAAGAAAAGACTATAAATTAATGTATTAGATTTTCTTTAAAAAATTTTCAGGATTGTTTCATTTTGATATTTTCTCTTCTTTTAGAGTGCACGGCAAGAACTGAACAAAGAATATGTTGTGAGCACACCCCAATGTAAACCATTGTCACCAGGGGAGATATTGGGTTGTACGTCTCCTCGTCTCTCCGACACAGACGCTATCATGTGAGTGTTTTGAATCTGAACAGACAGTTGCTGTTTATGCAGCACAGACCCATCTATGTTATATCTTATGACCTGATGGAGCAAGTGGGATCTTTGTCACTACGCTATTCTAAAAGTAAATCCTGGTTTGCATCCGTTTAGAAAGTTGGACTTTGCATGGACTGAAATTAAAGGAAAACTTAGTTAAGATTATAGCAATGGTTTTATTTTAAGAGAATGCCATGTGGTGCAGAGTTTGGAATATTGTAATCATGAAATAGAAGCAACAAACATTATAGTAGAAAGCTACCCACCTGTTATAAAATTGTTATTTTTAATGGTCATACCAATAGCACAAAAAGTGCAGTGAGACTTTTAGAAATATAATGGATTATCGTATATTGAGCAAGTTTTAAACTTCCAGGTATCCCAAAGCCTGTTAGTAGATAAAACAGTATGTATCCTTTACCCATAGGAAAAACCCTGTTTGACAGTTCTTGTGCACAATTTATCAGATTTTTTGCCTCTCCTAAGTAATTACAAACTTATTTGTAAGCTCTGAATGTGGCAACATTTAACCCCTTAAAACAGCAAAATCTGTTCAAAACTTGTAACTGATTCCTAAAATTATGAGTCTCATCCATGACCAGGGGCGAAGGCTGACTTGTTTGACAGGGTAATCAAAGTGAAATGGGACCAGATAGGGCCTGGAGATATCACACTCACACAAGTCACAAGAATCTTACTGGCACTGGAGGCGGCAACTCTGAGTTGTGAATGGAAACAAATCCTGAATTCATGTTGTATGCTTGTTCAACCGCTAAAATAATCGGGAAAGTATTTCATTAAATATTTATTCTAATTAACCTTAAATTTAACTTTAGATTTGAACACACGAACACCAAGAAAAGAAGCACAGATGTCAGCACTACAATGGCATGTTATACCAGACAGCCGAAACACTTTGGTAGAGCACGCCAACTATTAATTTTTTATTTCACATTTGGCTGTTTTTTGTCTAGCTTTTCGCGGCCAGGAGCCGCTGTCATAATCGAGGTCACAATCTGATTATAGGACGTTAAAAAGTCGAGGAAAAAAACAAGCACTAGCAGTGTAGTAGCAGGAGTCAAAGGATTATTAGGAGTTAGTTCCCCTCACATCTGTGAGGTAGACTCGACCAGTGTAATAGTTCGCTTAGATAATCAGCGCGTCTGGGTGCTTATAACTGTGGCCCGAAAGGGGTGAACAAGGTATATGTGACAATGAAACAGTTCTGACTGCTATGCACATGTTCCCTTCAAATCCATTGGTTGACTCTTCCAGCCTCACTTTAAGCTTACTTAATCAAAGCTTGTGACTGCTCATGGAGTGGCCCGATAGGGGCGAACAGGCTATTTCTGTGGCAATGAAACGGTTTTGAAGGTTAGGCATAGTCTATTGTTCATTGGTGATTATGAACATCTTTTTACATTTAATTTATGAGGTTTACGTCTATGGGTGAATTTGACTGCGACAATGTTTCAAAATTAGGAAGGGAAGCAGTGATTATTTGATTATATAGACGCTTCGCCTCTGTCCATGACGGGTAGTGAAAGAAGACCAATGGGCCTGTATTTTATTTTCTAAGTTAGATTTGTGTAAAAGTGAATCTTTCCATGAAATGACTGATTTGTCTGTGTGAAGCTAAATAGTTATTGTACGTAATCATGCTTGAGATTAGTCAGAGTAATTCTATGAAACGTTTGAGTAATATAGGTTTAAAAATAACCTTATCTCAGAACTATTTACTTTGCTTTTATGTTTTTCAGTTACCTTGGAGATGGGCGCTTTCATTTAGAGTCAATCATGATCCACAATCCACTGGTCCCAGCATACAGGTCAGTTCTGGTGACGTGAAAGTTCTTTGATGTTCCCCTCTATTTAGCTCATATTCCTTTTACATGCACCAGCAAGAACTAATAGTACCTATTCTTGAAACTTATTCTCATTTCATATTATTTTCCTCAGTTAATTTCAATTTCCTTTGGACTGAGAGCCTTAAAGACTGTAAATTCATAAACTGCCTTTGCTTTCAAATATGCACATGGCAGGGATTTGAGCCTAGTGTTCCATATATATGGCGCCAAGTACCTTGTGAACTGAGCTGGAAAAAAAAATACAATCTAATCTGATGCAATTGTTTTAGGTGTCTGTATAGATGCAGGAACCCTTACTTTATACAAAGATGAAATTTGCAAGGTCTTGGCTGCATTTTTTATTTGATTAAAAGTGATAGAAAACCTTTTCTTTTCTTCAACAACATTAGTAACAGTGGCTCTGCAGGTAGTGGACTGATACATTTTAGAATTAAAACATACTTTCCCTCTGCAAACATTACGTTCTTTTTCATAGTCCTATTAGTCAGCACATTTAGACATGTGGATGGGGCCTCTGCAAAACAAGTGTTTATGCCATAGCAAAAATAAAAAAGGCGGTCTTAAGATTTTTCAGATGTTGCTTGAAATGTGGGGAAAAATAGTACAGTCAAACCTCGTTGTATCGCCGCCGCCAGTATTTTAAAATAATTGAATTAAATTGTCAAGCAGCCTGGAGAAACTTCAGGAACCTCATCATCTCAGCTCCCCAGCAAAATATCAAGTGTCGCCAGATATCAGCCCAACTTACTTACTGGTTGGCAAATGCCTGTGGGGCTTTTATTTAATGAGGACTCACACTCAAGTCCTAGTGGCAAATCGAAGGGAGTTAACTCATTTATTAATCTCGTGCTTGGTAAACAAGTTTACTTGATGTTGGGCAGTCAGTGCTACTTGTATTTAACAGAGGACATAAGAACTTCGTTGTACTGCCAGCCCCGTTGTACCACCAACTTCGTGCTCGTCCCAAGGTAGGCAATACAATGGGGTTTGACTGTATCCTCTTTGTGAGCCAAACTTTATGACTTTTCAATTGCATGCCATTTTGGTCTTATGTCCTTGCACAGGTATGATCCCTACAGCAAGCTGTTCACGAGAGAACACTATGACTTTGACCGCATGAAGCAAGTGAGGCAGGATGCCATCAGTAAGGCCCAGAGTGCAAAGAAGGTTGGCATTATCCTGGGCACCCTTGGCAGACAAGGTTCTACCAAGGTCATGGAGGTATGTGACTGAGACATCAATTTGACAAACTTTGACTTTTTATCATGATAAGCATTGTATTTGAGCTGAGAAAAAGTTCAGCAGGTCAGAAAAAAGCCTGAAAAGCAAAGTACATGTCATCTATGATTATTTCTGACTGGGCCTGTGTAGATACTGTTGAGAGTTCAAGTTACCCCTTAGATATTTGGGGGGTTTTCTTGCACACACATATCGAACAGATTTTCGAGTCTCAAATTTTTTTCTTATACATGCATATTCTTTGTATTTAAAATTCGTTCATGTATATATATATGTGGTATAATCTTCTTCTTCTCAATATAACTGCTGTTCCAAGCAGGTGTTTAGAGGACACCACTGGTACACTGCACTTCTTTCCTTTTCCTCTGTTTTTTTCCTCAGATTTTCTTGCTTTTTCCCAGCTCTAAATGGCTGTTATTGTGTGAACGTGCTTCTCTTTACTCAAACTGTAAAATAACTGCTGTTCCGATGTCTTTTGCTGGAGAATGAGGTAACATTGTAGTGGCCACCAATTTACTATTGTAAAAAACAACTTTCGCATAATGGTCTAAAGATTTTTTTTTTAATTGTCATTCTTATCTTTCTCTCCCTACCAGAATCTAAGGGCTGAGATCACTGCATCTGGTCGTGATCATGTCACAATACTTCTCTCTGAAATCTTTCCAGACAAACTGAAGCTCATGAGTGATGTAGATGCGTAAGTATTCCTTTTTGTTTTTTATTTTCATTTGGAAAAGTACTATAACTATCTGTTGTTTTTATTTCATTCTCTTGTTATGACTTTGATTTTAACTTATTATACCAATAAAATGGTCATTAATCAGTGCAACTGTACTACACTGTATATGTTGGAGTGGTTAGTGAGATAAATGCAGGACAGCCTTTATTTTCAACAAAGTGTTTGTTTTTTGGGGGATTTTTTAAATTTTGTCTTTATGGTTTTTCATTCAGTTATCTGAAATTAAAAAGTACTGATTTGTTATCTTTTTGATGATGTTTTTTTAAATGCCCAAGATGTATGACTTTCTGTCCCTTGGAGAGTTCTCATTAAGGGTCTGTGTTTTTTACATGGGAAATGCTTATTAGGGTTTCCTATAAACCTAGATAACCAAACACCCTCCCTGAAATTTTATTTGGGCTATCCATTTCTCGCTACTGTAATTAATTGGTTTCCAGGACTGCTGGGGGGGGGGGCAGGCGGAGGGGTTGATTGTTAAAACTCCATGTAGTCTCAATGGGCTGTGGGGGAGGGGGAGGTGTTGAGCTGGCTTGTATTGGAGCTACATATTGTCTATACAAGGTCTTCCTTTTACCAATTCCCTTTGTGCTTTCTATGCTATGCTTCCGAGCACTTTTCAACTCAAAATAAATTTTGTACCATTTTTAGAAATACATCATAACATGTTCAAGTTTCATTGTATTTTTGTTTCTTCCGTGCAGCTGGGTTCAGATAGCTTGTCCAAGACTGTCGATTGATTGGGGCGCTGCCTTCAGTAAACCACTTCTTTCCCCGTATGAGGTAATAATAGCTTGTCCGTCTATGTCTGATGATGATCAATACGTCTGCAGAGGAGAATATTTCTCCAACGAAATAGAAGAATTAATGGTTAAGATGAATTGTAGCTCCTGCTGTGTCATAGAAACGTCAAATTTAAATGTTGAATTTGTTAGTTTTATTAGTTTGAAATGATAAAAGACATGAAGAAAATGGCATCATTTGAAAATCTACAAATTTGACATGTGCTGGTTTTCAGTCGATATCTTCATTCACAGAATGCGAGAGGTAACTCATTTTGTCAGTATAACTCACATATATAGATGTTTCAGCAGCGACAAAATACAATTTTGAAGGTTCATGACAGACTTATTTATAGTTATTCCTCTTATACTTTTGTTGGGGGCCCTCATGGTTTAGAGGTGCTGTGTTCGTCTCTCATTCAATAGGTGCCTGGTTGGAAACCTGACAATGACGGAAAATTTTCTCCCTAAACAAATTTTCCCTTTCACCTTTTCTACTCTCTATGCATGTTACATTGTCTGCCTTCGTCTCAACTTTCTGCCTCCTCTTGGCTCCTGACTCTTTTGTTGCCTTTCTACTGCTACTCCTTGGCTCCTTTTTACTACTGCTGTTTTTCAGCCACACTCTTGATATTAGCATAGGTAAGATATAATTCCTTGCCTTCTCGGACAAGGGCGAAAGATCTAGGAGGTCTCGTGTGCAAGTTGAGAATGTTAAAGATTATCTCTTGATGTTCTGAAATCGATAAGAGTAGGCTTCAGCCGGCACCTGGGCAAAATTCAAAATTAATTCCTACCAAACTGAAAAATGTTTAATCCATCCCGTGCTCATATGCCCTTATGCAGTTATGCAGTTGTGAGCGCTGTAAAGCACTTACTAAATACAATAATTTGTTACAGCACATTTTACATGGATTGTGAATGATGATTATTTGCATAGTGTTAATGCAACTAATTTGACCAGCTTTCTTGATGTTGTGACATTAATTGATGCTTAATGTCTTACCAGTGATGCCACCTAAAGTTCAGAGGAGAACCTATTCCTGAACTTTTTCCATTTCAGATGAGTGTGGCCCTACAGTTAGCACAGTGGCAGGACACCTACCCAATGGACTATTACGCCAATGAGAGCCTGGGATCCTGGACTGTCAACAATGAAGTAAATAAGCCACCGCGGCAGAGGAAGGCCAGGGTCAAGATAGCTACAGATCCATCTTCCTCCTCGTCGGATAAACTTTGTTCTTTAAGCAGTAGTTGCTGTCAGAGCACTGTGGAGAAATCATGTGATACTGAAGGAACGAGATAGCCTTGCAAGACAATGTGAATGATTGGGTGGGGTAGTGTGTTATGTCTGTACAAATTTGTAGACGGAGATGGTACGTACTGTTTGAGGAAATATATTGGTATGGAAAACTTAAGAAGAGTGAAGAAATTTTCACCAACTAGATACTTGACGTTTTTTGGCATAAAAGTCGTATATTCGTAGATCTATGTGGTGTATGTTCAAGTCTCACACTTTCAGTTCGAAAAATGTGAATCAGATATTACCATTTAATTCAACTTTTTTTTTTTCCATTGGGTTCTGGACAAATTTTTATGAGATTATCTGTCTGAGGTTTTAGTAAATCTAATATCCTGGATGCATGAAACATATCTTAGAGAAGGAAAACAATTTAATTGTGGTCTTAGAATCCATGGATCCATCTACAGTTGAAAATTAAAAAAACGATATTTTTCTATTTTATGAAGGAACAAAAACTTTCCAAGGTATTGAACGCCTCCTGTCTTGTACTTGTACACTCTGACAATACAACATTGAGTTTTTGAAAACACAAAACACCATTTTGTTGTTTGTGTTTGTTGATATGAATGCAGCTGGTTCTGACAATAAAATTAAAATGTTACCATACTAGATTCTTATTTATTTCCTTAAATGTTTGGCATCATTGTTGTTCTGTTCGAGACAATTAACATTTCCACAACAGACATCATCATATCTCAGAAACCATTTGACCTCTTGCACTGGCATTTGATAACTATATGCACAAATTAGGTTTGCATGCATGGACGAAGATTCCTTGAAATTGATCAACATTTGTTTGTGGCCTCCATGACCCTCTTGAGGCCGACATCTTTTGGCAATGGCTCAAATCTAGTCAGAAATGTTCATTTTTAATTCAATTCTGAGCTCTGTGTACGTAGTATAGTTTTGTTCATAGTTCAGATTTGTTTAAAAAATATTACATATTTTATGTAGAAATTATTGAGACCGTGTGTTGAACAGCGTCTGGGATGTAGCACATAGAAGACCCGAGTTTGGTTCCTGAACAGGGAGAAATATTAATAGAATATCTCTGTCTTTCTGCTGGGATGTTGTATCCCTCTCAGCCTGGATTGGCCCTGACAGACAGGGTCGGAAGCCCACCTCCTAAATGATCTAAATTGTGTCCATGGCGGTGTAAAAAACAGCAATATTAAAATTCTTTTAAGCATGACCCTCTAGTGTGTACAAACTAGTGTGTGTATGGGGGATTTTTATTGAGATGTATAGGTCTGTGTTCTTCTTGGTTCAACAAAATCTCTTCCTTGTCTCATCTGTCTTTTTTCGTCTTTGTCGTGTCCTCCCCTTTTACTTGAAAACAATTTATGTTCTGCTGTGGTCTGCTCTTTCAACTTTTTTTTCTTTGTAGTTTTGTCCTGATCTATCTGACACCTCCTTGCTTTTCTTTCTTCCTCTTCTTTCCATGAGTTGTTTTAGTCGTGCTCTTTAATCAGCTGCAGTATTCTTTACTGCCTCTTCAAATGTGTTGCAAAAGTTATTCCCATGACCACACCCCTCTCACCTCCTTTGCCCCCTCCTTTGAGCTCCTGACTCTTTCTGCAGCCTTTCTACTGCTACTCCTTGGCTCCTTCTTACTGCTGCCTTTCAGCCTCACCCTTGATCTTCTGGCAGGAAAGATCTACACCTAGCCTTCTCGGACAAGGGCGAAAAATCTCGGAGGTCCCGTGTGCAAGTTGCACAGGTTAATATAAAGATCCCTTGGTGGTCTAAAATCGATAAGAGTAGGCTTCGGCCGCCGCCGAAGGCAAAATTCAAAATTTCCTACCAACTGAACATGTTAGGCGTGTCCCTCGCGCTCATTTGACCTTACGCAGTTGCGAGCGCCGTAAAACACTTACGGTACCAAAAAAATGGCTTTGTGTTACATAGTGCTAGTTACTAGTTACATGTGATTTCATAGCTAGGAGAAGTAAGTCATGGGTTCTCCCACAAAAGGGATATGACGAAGTGGTCGGGCCTGACTTTTAATTCCTTTGAACCTTAGTGTTCGATCCAAGTGTACATGTATAGCAATGAAAACAACAAGTTGTGTTGCATTGTTTTGTAGGGCCTAGCACACGGCAAAGTTTATTTCCACAGACTAGGCTACAATTCGTTACGTTGATCTAGATCTATGCCTTAGCTTGTCTTTCATTGTTCAGTAGCCGGGGAAAGTGGGGGGGGGGGTATGACCGACGCATCTGTTTCTCTGCTGACGTAACACACCCAAAACGGTCGTACCTTTGTCGCCACCGTCCCTTCCCATTTCCTCAGACACACACACTAACACTAAGGGTGAGACCACATTGCTAGCGAGAGAGCGGGGCTGAGCGGGAACGAGAAGAAATATAACAGATAATCATATTTCTGTTTAAATGGCTATACTATGTGCGTTTCCCACGCGAATCTCGCTAGCTTTGAGAGAGACTATACTTTGCTGTTTCTTCTCGCTTCCACTCGGCCTGGCTCATTTTGAGACAGCGACACCACCTTGCCCTCACATTTCAGTGTTTGCAGATTTCATCCCCCGGCTGTCTAGACGTCTCCGCGTGCTCCACAAGAGTCTCGAAAATTACTCACCCCGTCTCTTAAATCGTGTTTCTGACCTCACGGCCAGTCAACATACGGTACCAGTTCTCACCTCAGCTGTTTCTGCTAGCTTGCACTTATTTCCCGCTTGAGAAAGGCAGCTCTTAGTATGGCACCTCCAAGTTTATCGCTCATCACTAGCTTCATGCTAGCTTCAACTCTCGCTTGTAATGTGGCCTCACGCTAACAGCCGCATGTGTACTTGCCGTCCGTCCTGCCTCTGCCGGCCCTTGCACCCGCTAAAACACGTCATGTCTTACATGCGCGTCAACAACGCATGTGTTGGTGTGAAGGGTTTTTGTCTTTTGGGTTTTTTTTTAAATGTGCGGAATAGGCTAGGCTAAGCATGTGTAATGATTCATGGTACATGTGCGATCGATGGTCTCTTGGAATAGAGTAGATAAGTTTCTTTGTAGGAGGAAAATAATTATGCGAAGCTACATCAGCTTTGAATCCGAGTATGCTAATTTATATGATCGTTGAATGCAAGTCGTTTTGTTGATTTTAATTACATTTTTAAAAAGAAAGCCGTCTCTCTTTTTTAAATTCAAATTTGTTGTATATAATTTTAATATTGATTTTATATGATTTGTAGTTGTATTCTCATACTCTTACCAATGAGGTTACTGTAAGGTCCTTGACACATACACAAAGAGAGATCTCTCGCGAGAGAGACAGACAGACAGACAGACACCGAGAGAGGGAGAGAGAGAGAGAGAGAGAGAGAGAGAGAGAGAGAGAGA